GAGAGAGAGAGAGAGAGAGAGAGAGAGAGAGAGAGAGAGAGAGAGAGAGAGAGACATCGTGGTGGTACATGGTTAAATACATAGTTAAGATTCTCATCTCTAGCCTGTCCCTTTGGTCAGGAAAGCAAAACTTCCCCAGGAAATGTTCTCTTTCACCTCGTTGGTCACAGCTGGTTTACATGGCTACTCCTAGCTGCAAGGGAAGCTGCAAGGGTACTCAGCATGCAAAGCTCTATCCTGGAGGCTGTGTGGAGAAAGAGGTGAATAACAGCTGTAAGTCATGGTAATAGCCGCTGCATGTCCTTTCATGGAAAATTGGGTAGCTGTCTGATTTAATTTTTACTCAGCTTCTCCTCACATCCTCATACTAAAATATTTGTTCAGATGAAAAATGGTACGTCTTTTATAAGGTATTTGTGTACTTTACATTAACTTTCAAACTCCTTTGTGAAGAACCTTATTTATTTAGATTATCATAAGAATTTTACACCCAGAGAGACACAACATTTTTTTTTTTTTTTTAGTTTGAGTTACGTTATAGCCTTTGGTCCTCAAATATTTAGTGTCTATTTCCTAAGAACAGGGATATTTTCATACATCATCACAATGCGTTTATTGACTTTATAAATTTGACCAGATAATTTTCTTTGTAGCATCTTTCCAAAGTACAGTCTCATCTAGGGCTTAGTGTGGCCAATGCTGTCATGTCTCTTTAGCCTCTTTAATATAGGACATTCCCACAGGGGGTGTTGATTCTTCAGAAAACTGCTTTCTCCTGTTCCCTTATGATCCAATCCCTTGGAATCAGCAGTTTTCAAACTTTTAGTCTCACGGTCCCTTTACACTCTTAAAAATTATTGAAAATACCAATGGACTTTTCCTTTCCACAGATTAGAGCTATTGGTATGTAGTGCATTAAAAATTTAAATTGTGTTTTAATTCATTTAAAATAACAGTGACAACCCTTTCTCATGTTAACACAAATAGTATGTTTTTATGAAGAAGGACTATTGAATCCTCCAGAAGAACCAAGGATGTTTAGTAAAAAGAGTAGCATTGCCTTACATTTTTTTGTAGCTTTGAAAAATGTTGGTGTTGTGTGGCTGTTTCCTCTTGATTGAAATATTCCCTCTTTGTGGGGAGGAGAAAAGCTCATACACCTTACAAGGTGGAGGAAGCTCACGAAATTACAAGATTCACAAGGCTCCGCTCTGGTGCCACATAAGCAGTAACAACCACTTGGTCCTCATTGGGATGCTGTTCAAGTGGTAGAGTCCCCCTCAAAGTGTGGTCTGGGGAGATGACAAGACTTGGGAAGCCCCATCCTTGCAAGGGATGAATAATGCACTCAGAGGAGGCAGCTCTCTTCTGCCTTGTGAACCTGTGGATTGAGCTCAGGTTATCAGGCTTGGTAATAAGCAGTGTTGGCTATTGAACGCTTCCCAACCCTCTATTTTTAACTGGTGTTTTTCCTATGAATGGCATCATAATGTGTTTTTGATGATTTGGAAAATACTGGTTCAAGTTAGATGGATAATTCAAATATTAACACGTTTCATTATTTGATACCAAAAAAAAAAAAAAAAGCCCTTTTGCAAATCAGAACAGACTGGCTAGTTTAGCTTATAGCTCAAACAACCGCACCATGCTTTTCTTGAAGACAGCCTTTGTATTTGGCATCTAGCAGAGGAGCTTTATGCTTAACTTCCCATTTCATCCCAGGGAGTGTTCAAAAGCTTATGACTCCACAGCCAAGATTTAGCACCTTTGGGAGATTTTTTTAAAAAAAAAAATTCATTTTAATTTATTTTATGTGCATTGGTGTGACGGTGTCAGATCCCCTGGAATTGGAGTTACAGACGGTTGTGAGCTGCCATGTGGGTGCTGGGAATTGAACCCGGGTCCTCTGGAAGAACTGCTGAGCCAACTCTCCAGCCCGGCTGCCATCCCCCCCACCCCCACACACACACCTTTGGGAGATTCTAGGCAGTTCACCTTCTTTCCTTCTCTTCTCCTTCCCTGACTGTAACAGTTCAGAGTCCACACCCCTCCTTTGGAAGTCATGGGTTGATGGGCTCCCCGGCATTTCCCTTCACCCGTGGTCTGTTGCATCTGTGCCAATGTTAGCACGGTGCAAAAGGCCAACAGGTGATCCAGGAAATCGTTCTGCTGGTGGGGGTGCCCCGGAAGAGTCTGTTATTTATTAAGCGGCATAACGTTACTCATTAAGCGGCGGCACTGTTTACCATGTGAGAAAAGCCAAGAGGTACAACAAAACCCACTCTAAGAGTTTATTAAGGGGAGGAAATAGAAGGGGGTGCTTAGGCCTATGGAAAGATTGTGCAGGAAGAGGAGGAGGGACAGGTGGAACCCACTTTTATAGATCTGCCCCCCCACACACAAATGCACATATGGGCTTCCATAACTACGCCATGCATGCATATAGACTATGTGATCACGCTCGTGCAAATTATGTGATCACGCACGCATTATATAGGATGCAAGGCCCTGGGATGACTGAGCATCCTGCCTGGCTACTGGACAGTGCATGTGTGGTCATGTAGCTGGGGGAGAGGCTAGGAATTCTAGCAGTCTGTAGAGTTGGGCGGTACAGAGACCCTCGGATGATTGGGCTTCCAGCCTGAAAGGCATGTTAGACGTGCCCCGTCATTAGGTGTATCTGCAGTCCGGATCTTCAGTTTCTTCACCCACAGTGCTATTGGGAAGTAGAGGTAGGGGTCTCGTGGGAGGAAGTTAGGACTTTACCCCTTCCTCTCTTGGCTTCCTGGTGACCTTGAGGTAAGCTGCTTCCACTAGGAAGTCCTGCTAGCTCCCACCGGGAAGTATTATCACTGTGTTCCCACCAGGCAATACTGCTTTGCCTTGGGACCAGCTAACCATGGACTTAAACTTGGGAGGGAGGGAGCAAAAATAAATCATGCCTCATAAAAAATAAACTAACTGTGTATGTGTCTGCATGTACATGAGTGTGCAGGTCTGTGTGTATCACGGCCCCACACGTGGAGGTCAGAGTTCACCTCGGATTTGTCCTGGGCTTCTACCTGGACACAGAATTGCTTTTAATTCCCCACTGTGAACTCCAGGCTAGCTGGCCCAGGGACTCCAGAGATTCTGTCGCTACCTCCTGTGGACCCACTGGGGATTATAGAGGGAGGCCACTGTGTCCAGCCTCAGATGGGTCTGGGGGATTTGAACTCAGGTCCTTACCCCTGTGTGGCAAGCACTTTATCTGCTGAGCTATCTCCCCCAGCCCACCTCTCTTCTCTTTCGGTTGGCTCTCACAAGTATTGCATTACAGTCACAGAAATCTGAGGCACACGTTTTTTTCTCCTCACCTGTAGTTCTATCTCTTGTATTACCGTGACTACACAAAGTGTGATTGATATCGTCTCTTCAGCAAAAGCAGAAAGGTAGAACAGCTTGATATATACCCGGCCCTCGTGGTTTGCTGATACCGAAAATGGGACCGTCGATGACTGATTCACAAATTTAGAGTCCCGAGGACTCTTCCTGTTAGCGTGCCTGCGTTGACCCATTCGTAAGAGGAGGCACAGTGAGTCGAGTTACGGGGTGCACTTCTGAGGGGATGGGGTGCATTTCAAGAGGGTGGAGTTTTCAGCAGCCTGGGCAGACTGCTGCAGTGCTGGGCTCCAAGTTCCCATTAGAGCTGTGTCCAGCTAGGGAAACCTCATGCTTCCTGCCTCCCTTTCCCTCGAAAGCGGACAAGAGTTGCTCTAGCGATCTAAGCCCAGGCGAGGTTGGTTGGCCTTGGTGGTGGAGCTTTTAATTACCCGTGGCAATCCTGGAAGAAGAGGCTATAAGACACAGGGCGATTAACACTTGAGCGGCGCATGTCTGTGCTGATTAGCTCGGATGGTTAGAGTGAGGACGAATGAGGCTGAGGTCATATCCAGACTCTGCAGCCCAGGTATCCCCGTCATCCTCCAGACTGTAGCCCCTGCTCGGTCAGCTGCCCCGCAGAAGCTCACTGCCGGCTGGAAAGGGGCCAGGGAGGCGCTGGCCAGAAATCAGCACGGGCTCTTTGTGTTTAAAACAAAACAAAATCAAAACAGGTTCTCTATAACGTACCACCCCCTGTGATCCCTCTCTAGGAGTATCATCAGACTTCATGATTTAAATTTCATTTGTTAGCCATTTGGTGGTTAGTTAAAAAAAAACAAAACAAAACCAACAACCAAAAAAAGTAATGATTTATTAGCATTTTTATAATAAGCAGCATTTAATATCTATTAATGCGAGTTCAAACAGATCAGCGATTTAATTTCTTAATAAAACGAATCAGAAGAGTATTACTTAGAAGAAACTGCATACTGTGAGCATGTTGCCTGTGTGTTTTGTGACCTTGATTCTCGTGGGTTATTAGAAGAGACAGAAGTGGAGGAGGAACCGGCGAGTTCAGAGTTCAGCCCTTCTCCGGTACTACCTTCCAAGCTGGAGGGGTTGGGGGGAGGGTGCCCCTGAGTTTTCATTTACCCCTACAAACAGCTCCATGTCACATCCAGGACAAGCAAGATGGGGGAAATGCAAAGTGGTATTTTAAAAAATGCCACCCATGAGCCCAGCACTCCCGATGCTGAAGGGGGAAGACCATGAGTTCTAGGCCAGCATGAGACCCTTCCCCCCAAAACCCAAACCAACCAATCAACAGCGAAGGCAATCCAAGCCTTTGTGTCCCCATTGGAGTACCACTTACTTGATTAAGTAACTCCTTATATTTCAAACAGTGGCGGGGAGATGAAGAAGTAGAGGATTTGGATTCGGGAATGCAGTTCCAACTCTAAGAGGTAGAAAGCGGCCTGTGACGGGGTTCCCTCCTTCCCCGGGGACTCATGGTGAATGGTGTGTGCATGCAGAAAGGATTACTATGGAATGAACGTACCCTGTCGTCCAACCCCTTAACGAAGCATCACTTGTGAGCGTCTAGGTGAAGAGGAGCAAAAATGGACAGTGAGCAGAAGCCGCCAGGGTTTCGGGAAGGAGTACAACAGACTCTGAGTTACCTGGGGTCACAGCCTCGAATGTGGGGCTCAAAGCCGTGACTGATCACAAAGAGTGAGAAGTCCCGTGGCTTCAGGGAAGGCAACACGGTGTAATTGATTCGAGGATTAGTGTTTTAGCCACTGGTGCTGATGCCGCTGGACTCCAGAACACTGGAGGAGCCTTGGCCCAATTAGGAAGTCAGCTGGAGCCCCTCTGCCCGGGCGGCGGCCATGTTGCCTGCTGTCTGATGCGTTGCCAATGTGCCTCGGCGCAATCACTCCGCGGCACTGGGATGATGTTTCAATTTAGCCTGCTTGCTCAGTCAGGACTCTTAAGAGCCTCATTGTCCCGGAGTGGGCTTCCTGCCTGTGCCTCTGCTCCTCCTGCCTCTCCTCTCTTGGACACAGCTGTGACGTTGCTCACCCGGCCAAGTGAGTTGTCAGCGTCCCTGGGCTGCGGGTTGGCAGGTTTCCACTTTCAGAGAAGCACCAGCCAGCTTTCACGGGGAGAATCGCAAGCTCCGGAGAGTCAAGTCTTGGAGTTTAGACTCCCGGAGTTCTCTGTGAGTCTGTACTGGGGTGGCCAGCATTCCACAGCCGTGGCTGGGGGAACATTAGCACCCTGTCTGGAACATGTGGGACAGGCAGATGGGAATTTCAGCCAGGGTAAACGCTGACCTGGCTGTGGGAGGTTGGTGCTGGGGTTGCGGGGTGCCTATGAGGGAGATCTCAGGAGGTGCTGGATGGAGTAAGGGAGCAGATGATGGATGTGAGGGGTGATAGAATGCCTGGCATTTATAAACCAGCCACTCCACACCCGTGCTCATGGCAGTAACATTCACAATCGTGAAGAGGCAGGAGTCATTCTGCCGTGGATGGCCAGGTAAGCAAACTGGCATGTCCGTGCAGTGGAATATTCAGTCTTAGAGAGGAAGAAGTCCTACTGTCTAGAGGAACACGATGAGTCTGGATAATAGGACTATTGCTGGAGGGCTTCTCTCCAAGTTCCAACAAGCCCTGCAGTCCCACAATCCACATATAAAATAATCACTCAGACACTTATATTACTTATAAACTGTATGGCCATGGCAGGCTTCTTGCTAACTGTTCTTATATCTTAAATTAACCCATTTTTATAAATCTATACCTTGCCACGTGGCTGGTGGTTTCCCGGCGTCTTTACATGCTGCTTGTCCTGGCGGTGGCTGCAGTGTCTCTCCCCCTTCTTCCTGTTTCCCCAATTCTCCTCTTTCCTTGTCCCGCCTATACTTCCTGCCTGGTCACTGGCCATCAGTGTTTTATTTATATAGAGTGATATCCACAGCATAGGACGCTAAGTGAAAGAAGTAGATGATAAAATTTTCTGATGCCGCTTTGAAGAGGTAGGTAAAGAACATAAATTCGTAGAGGCAGAAGGAATTATGGGCTGGAAGGAGCAGGGATGGGGGGGGGGTGAGGAGTCATTAATGGGCGGAGTTTCGGTTTGACAAGATAAAGAGATCGCCTGGTCCCACACCCATGTGCGTATAGCTAGCGCTGACCGTGTAGGAAGGCTCAGTGAATGTCATGTTATGTTCCCCGCCACAACTGAAGATCAAGCCGCTCGCTGCCTTGGCCTGTAGAATGGCTGAGGATCAGCAGACTGGGGTCGGTTCTGGATGGCCTCACCTGGTATTGACCTCACGACTTGCTCTTTGTCTGCCCATCTTAGTCAGCATAAGCTGTTCTAGCAGGACACCATGACTGCTACAGCAGCCTTTAACAGCAGGCGACTCTCTGTTCACTGTTCTGAAGGCCCAAGAGTCCGAGATCGGGGTCCCATCGTAGCCAGGTCCTATTGAACTCTGGCCACATTCTTACTGGATGCTCATATGACGGGAGGAGATATCGGAGGAGCTCTCTGGTCTGTTTCAAGGACAGTGTATCAGTCACTTTTGCACTGCTGTGGCTATATACAGTATCTGACAAAAATAAAGAGAGGAACTTGTCTGGGCTCACGGTTTTGGGGGGCGCATCGGGGCGCTGGTGGGAAAGCTGTGGCAGAGCGCACAGCTCTCTGTGAGAGGTGGTGGAGGGTGTCGCGGGAGCCGATCAAACCTCAGTGGGTCAGGGAGCAGAGAACGTAATGGCAAACAGGGTCCAAACTGTGCCGGTGAATCGTGATTGTTCACTCAATTATATCTGGGATTAACTAAAAGACGCGCCTCTGGGTGGGTCTGTGAGAGTGTTTTCTGGAAGGATTAGCTGAAGGAGGAAGACTGATGGGTAGGACCTTGTGTCGGGGGAGGTCTAGACATGAAGAGGCCTGGGGGGGCATGGGTGGGGGTGGGGGTAATGGGGGGGGAAGGGGGGGTGGGCGGGTGGGCGGGGAATGCTGTTCTGTCTGCCTGTCTTCGCTCCTTGCCAGTCAGCCTACAGAGCCTGTTGCTGTCTCTGCTGCCATTGTTTGCTGACATTGGTACCCAGCTCCTTCAGCCTTTCCACATGGACTGCAGACCGCTGCTTCTCCAGGAATCCTGCCGGCCTGCAGTGCCAGACTGGGACTGTGGAAGCATCCAGTCTCACACACTGAGAAGGAAGCCACCACGTTCCTCATCTCTAAAGCATGCCAATAGCTTGTACACCGTGTGAAGATGTAATTGCTGTGATTGGTATAATAAAAGGCTGAACGGCCAATGGGTAGGCAGGAGAGGTAGGCGGGACTTCCTGGCAGAGAGAGGAAGAGGACACACAGAATGGGAGAGAGGTAAGAGCCATGTGGTAGAAGATAGATTAATATAAATGGGTTAAGTTATGAGAGCTCATTGAGGCAAGCCTAAGCTGAAGGCCGAGTTTTCATAATTAATAAGAAGTCTCCGTGTTGTTATTTGGGAGCTGGCAGTACAGAGAAAGACTTGCTACATACGGCATCCAACGTGGAGGCTGGAATAACCAAACATAGGGCCTGAGAAAGCTAAGGAAAGTTCTGGACAAGGAGTGGATGTAGATCCCTGGTCCTGCAGTCTCTGAGGCAGGCCGGTGCTGGATGTACAGAGATGCAGCTCCCCGCCATTGCCTGCTGGCTCTAACCAGCCAGTGCCATGTGCCAGCACCATGCACAGAATGAGCCACACAGTGGCTGCCATGACAGTTTAAGATTTGGCTCATGCAGTCAGAGTGTGAGACCAAAATGAGCCATCTTAGAAATAAGACCAAAATGCTTTCACCCAAAAACTAAGGCCTAAAATTTCTCCTTCTAGGAATAGGCCATTAGTTACTGAAACCAGTCAGTTCAGATTCCAGAAACCAGGAAGTGTAAAAGTACAGAGTCACAAGATAGTCATGAGGTAATGCCTGCCGGACTATGGAATGTCCTCTCCCTGGTTTCCAGGGTAACTGACCACAGAAATGCCCCCACCTGAGGGCAGCCAATGAGAAATGGTGGCA